AAAGAAAGAAAGAAAGAAAGAAAGAAAGAAAGAAAGAAAGAAAGAAAGAAAAACTCAGCCTAGAGGAATGGGATAATTGGTTATTGCCTCATGGTACAGCCAGCAGAAGAACAATCTGCATGGCAAGGAAGCCATTGGGGACATAGAGAAAATGAGAAAAGACACCAAGGTAGGCACAGAATGGGCAGCCACTGACTGTGTGAAGGAGGCAGTGTGGGAGACAGGATGGACACAAGGACTAGAGCTGGGGCCCGGTACGCATAGACCATGGCAGGCTGGCTGTGTCAAGAGGGCTTCAGAAATGCTCCAGCTCTCAGGAAGCTGGAGATCCAGTCTTCAGTCCCACGAGTCCACACTGCTCTCTTCCCCTGCTGTGGCTGAAACTTCCCCAGACACGCCTTCAGCCGGAGGTATGGAAGCACCCTGTGGCACCTGGAGGGGCAGACATCCTACAAGTGACAGCCCTGGAAGTATGTCTCAATCCTCTAGGCTAAGAGCTCACAGACTGTGATCACTGCACCTAGCTTCTGAGCAACATGGAAGCTGCCCCCACTGGAGCTAAGGAATAGCCAGAGCAGGCCAACGACTGGACCGACAATGACAGGGAGCTCCTCAGGCACAGCAGTACAGAGAAATTAGTAGATTTCCTTCAAAGATCATGATGGCCACAAGATCATAAACCCCAGCATCTGAATTAGAAAGCAGATGGGGTCTTCAAAAGTCCCATGGCACACGTTTGATGCCATTTCACAAGACTGGAGCCTCAGCCCACGTAGGACTAGAACACTACTCCCTGGTTTCAGACGCCAAGATACATCTGGTAGTCAGGCACAGACAGAAGACAAAGTCCTCTTTATTTCATGATAACTTCCTCTATTGTGGAACTTTCCACACAAAATAGAGTCCAGCAAACAACAGATTTTATAATGCCATCAAGTGCTGTCCAAATATTGAATTTGTTGATCATTTTCTTTTTCCCACAATAGAACAACCTCTTCTTTGCTTGACACTTTGATGAAAATTCCACATATCCCTTCTTCCACCTGTAGATATTCCACTTCTGTGCCAGAATAATGGCAGCATAACTATAATATGATTGTGAAATCTAAAGACTACTCAATAATAACATGTGTACTCCAGGTCTCCTCAATCTCTCACAAACATCAGGTCTCACTTGTGTTAAGAGTGCTTATTTCATATGGATGTTCCCTACTGTGTAGGAAGATGAAGTGAAGTTTCAAATGGACTTTGCTGCTTGAGTTCTCTGCCTAATGTCACCTGCTAGAGTCCCCAGACTGCTTTCTTAGTTTCTTGCCAGGTAGGATCTCCATAAACTAAGCTGTTAGTCCTGGGAATGTCCTGGTCACAGGCCAGCCCTCAGTCTCACCAACCTGTCCCCTGCTTTGCTCTGCTGCTCCATTTCCTTCAAAATATTTCTTCCATAGAGAGTGTGAAAGCATTCAGGTGAGCCCCAGGGAGGCCCTTCATTTATTAGGAGGGTGAGCTTCTCCAAGGGAAGCATCACGCCCTTGTTGCATCTGTAACGAGTTTTCCCTCCTCTCAGGCAGGACACACAGGTCCAAGGGGGGCTGCGCCCAGCACAGCTGCAGCTGGGGTCAGGGAGGGGCAAGGCCAGGAGGGGTTTTTGCACTAGTGTGTGTCACAGTGTTGGGTTTTTGGTGGAGGCACCAAGCTGACCGTCCTAGGTAAGTGACTCCTTTCCTTCTCCCTTTATACAAGCCTTGATTTGAAAAGCTTTCTGCTGTTTGTGAGACTTTTCTGGATTGACTCTCAGCCTGGGATCAGACTATCTCTGTGCATTTTGGCTGCGGGTGCTGGCTGACCTCTTCTCTCCCTGTTCAGACCTTCATGCTTGCCTTCGCTGGTCATCAGCACTCTGTTCCCCTGACCTCAGATAAAAGGACAGAACAAGATCACTTACTAAGGCTTGTCTGTCTGTCTGTCTGTCTGTCTGTCTGTCTGTCTGTCTGTCTGTCATTCTCTGTCTGATTATCAGACTGCCCCTCATGGTTGGTGGGTATCTCAAAAGTGTACTTTTCTACTCTCCTTCCCTTCTAATGTCTGTCCGAATGATGAGCTTTGTGCAGTGAGTTTTGTGATGGTATAGATATGTGAGGTCCTAACATAGACAGATGGGAGAAAAGAGGCCCTGAGGCTTATGAAAACTGGGGAACTTAGAGCGACCTAGAACGCTAAGGGCTGAGGTTATGACACCGCAGGTCAGAGGCCCCAATCATATCCTTGTAGTGGCTACTTACAATTCAAGACCGAGACCAAGATAAGAGGTAGAAGTGATCCCCAAGCCACCATGGGCATCAGATCTCTCAGCCAAACTGAGACTTTAGAAATTTAGAAGACAAAGGGTGAAACCTCTGGGCCACGGAGCCAAGTTAGGGGGTGATTAAGGTCTACAGTGCAGAACTGAGTTCTTGGGTCTCTGGGACATCTGCTTCTCAGAAGAGCCAGGCCCTGAGTTCATAGATGATCAGGCCCAAGGCAGCCAATGCACAGGTCTGCTATTTTAGTGGCTTTAGAGACAACCTGTTCACAGAGCAGATACCATGTATATGGGGAAATTGTGCCATGTTGCAGGCCAGGCCTGGGGTGAAGCTCTTGAGTTAAGGGCAAATTATACACTCAGACTCCAGAGAGCAGGAAGGACAGGTCACAGACTGCACTGCTCACAGCCTGGTAACTGAGGCTGAACACGCTGCAGAAGGCAGATAGTAGTTGGGAAATCCAAGGGAGGCTACATGAAAAAGGGTTCTAGAAAAACTCAAGGCCAGTAGCTACCTAACAGGCTTCAGTAATCCATAGGGAAGGTGGTGAAGATGTACAAGAGTGTCATAACAGGATCAATCAGATGACTTTGTGCAGGAGGATCCAAAGCCCCCACCTCAGCTCTGCTCAATCCTGTCCCTCTTGTGTTGGCCCAGGTCAGCCCAAGTCTGCACCCGCAGTCACCCTCTTCCCGCCCTCCCCTGAGGAGCTCCAGAACAACAAGGCCACGCTGGTGTGTCTGATGAATAACTTCTACCCGGGCACTGTGACCGTCAACTGGAAGGCTGATGGCACCACTGTCACCCAAGGCGTGGAGACCACGCAGCCCTCCAAACAGAGTGACAACAAATACATGGCCAGCAGCTACCTGAGCATGACGCCTGCACAGTGGAGTTCTTACCAGAGAGTCAGCTGCAAGGTCACACATGATGGCAGCACTGTGGAGAAGAGTTTGGCCCCTGCAGAGTGTCCCTAGGACCCTGCCCGGCACCCTATCCTCAGGGACCTGAAGTGCAAGGACTCGGAGGAAGAGTCTCCTGTCCCACCCCACCTGCTCCTGACTTTCTCTGTGATCCCCTCATTGTTCAATAAACTACCCCTTCTTGATCAGAAATTCTGTTTGTCTCCCTGGTTTCACCATTATTTTATTGTGAGACACCTTGGGGTTCTCCAGTGGAAATTTGGTTAACACTTAATATTGCCTGGTGTATTACCCTAGAAAGTGTTGAACTGGACAGGCTTTGCTGTAAATCTCCACTGAGGCACCTACCGTGCAAACTCACACCAGACATTTCTCATATGCTCTTCAATTCTGATCTGTTCAACAAGCACCAATCACATTATCGTGCACTACTTCCAATGTGCTTTGGGTAACCAGACCAGCTCTACTTTGAAGGGTCACTGCTCGGGTGCAGGGGCGGTTCCACTGTGAGACGTCACCTCCTCCTCATCCCATGCATCCCATTCCTCAGCTGAGTTCCCTGAGCTGGTGGGACTGGGATCCAGCACAGTTAGCTATCCCTGCAGAGTGGCTCTGCTAGGGGAAAGAAAGGGAACCAGCAACAGGGAAAGAGCCGACAACAAACACAGAGAAGTAGAGAGAAATGAAGAGAGACTCAGGAAACTAGTATCAGACTAGGGGAAGGAAAGGGAGGGAAAAGGGCACTGGAGTCCAATCAAAGGTTTGGCCAGCAACAGAGCTTTTACCTGAGGGTTTTATTTGAGGGATCTCATCAGGAGATCACTGATCAGCTGATGGGGTGAAGTTCCCCACCGCCAGGGAGCCATGGGAAGGCAATATGCAAGGGCATTGCCCAGGCTCTCTCAGCGCGTGCCAGCGCAGTGGAAGAGGGGACAGATTCTGCAGGATAGAAGCAGTGTGCATGAGGAAGCCCAGCATTGCCCACCTTGCGTTCATCTTCTGGCTCAGCACTGGGCATTGTGGAATTCTCTGAAAGAGACCAGTGTGCTTAGATGAACACGGGTAGAGGCGGAGGCAGACAGAGCTAATCACGGTCCATCCACATTCATGTGGATCAGAGTCAGATTCAAGCTTGTAGCGTGAGGCTGTGGTCAATCATTAAGGACTAGACAGAAAAATGGAGCCTGTGGGAATGACATAATGTGTTTTTGGCTCGTGGTGCATGCAGGAGAGGAACAACCTGTGTGACAAGGAGGCCATGGGGGAATTAAGGAAAATGAGACAAGACACCACTGTAGGCACAGCATGGGCGTCCACTGTCTGAGGGAGGCATGTGAGAGGCAGGACGGACGCCAGGACTAGGGTTGGGGCAAGGTTAGAATGGACCATGGCAGAGTGATTGCATCCAGGGGGCTTCAGAAAGGGTCTAATGTTCAGGAAACTGAGGATTAGGGCTTCAGTCCCACGAGCCTGTACTTCCCACTCCCCCGCATGTGGCTCAGACTCCCCATGAGCGTCTTCAGCCTCAGCTTAAGCTCAAGATACACACTCTCACACTCTACTCTAAGCCGCCTTCCTACATGTGCTGGTCCTGGCACTATCTCTCAGTCCTCTTGGCTAGAAGAGTTCCAGACAGCAATCTCTATTCACCCAGCTTCTGAGCAACATGGTAGCTGCAACCACTAGGACAGTGGAATAACCAGACCCAGCCAAGGACAGGACTGGTAATGACAGAGAACTCTTTAGTCATAGCATGCAGAGAAACCAGTAGGCCAGTTTCAAATATCATGATAGCCAGGAGGTCGCAAACCCCAGGCCCTGAAACTGAAAGCGGCTGGGTCCTTTCAAAGTCTCATGGAACCTGTTTGATGCCATTTCTCAATTGTAAAGGTTGAGACCACGTAGGACCTCACCTCCGATCCCAGGTATCAGTACCAGGATCCATCCAATACTCTGCTACTCACCCAAGACAAAATCCTCTTTCATATATGACAAATGCCTATATTGTAGCATTTTCAACACAAAATAGACTAGGGAACAACAAAGACTTCTATGATGCCATCAACAGCTGTCAAAATACTGAATCCATGATGGGTCATTTGCTCTCTCCCACAGCAGAATGGCCCCTTCTTTACCTGATACTTTCAAGAAAATTCCACGTATCACTCTATCCACCTGTAAATATCCCATTTCTGTCCTGGAATGATGACAATACAATTATAATGTGATTATCAAAGCTAAAAACATCTTGTAACTTAATGTACAAATTATCCACATCTCTGCAAATCCCCCCAAAAGGCCCTATGTGTCTTAGATAGTTCAGTTTGCAGTGCTGTTTATAGATGTTCCTTTCTGTGTAGGAAGATGAAGCGAGGTTTCAGCTGGGCTTTGCTGCTCCTGTTTGCCACCTAATGTCATGCACTAGTCCCCAGACTGCTTTCCTTGTTCCTTGCCAGCTGGGATCTGGAGAAGCTTTGCTACTGGAATGTCCATGGTTACTGCAGAGCTGCTCACTTTACTGAACTGCCCCTGAGTGCTTCTCCGTCCTGTTCCTTTGGTGTCAAAGTAATTCTTACAGAGATAAGATGAAAAATGTACAGGTGACCTCAGGGAGACCCTTCATTTATTAGGACAGCGTGCTCTTCCAAATGAGGCACCATATACTGGAGGCATCTCCCAGTGGGGTTTCCCTCCTGTCATACAGGACACACAGGTCCAAGAGGGGCTGCACCCAGCACAGCTGCAGCTGGGGGTCAGGGAGGGGCAAGGCCAGGAGAGGTTTTTTGCACTAGTCTGTGTCACAGTGTGCTGTGTTCGGTGGAGGGACCAAGCTGACCGTCCTAGGTAAGTGACTCCTCTTCCCTCTTCCTTGATTCTACCCAAGGTTTGAGAACATCTTCTTCTGATTTCTGAGCTTTTTGTGTTGAGTCTCAGTCTAGGATCATACTCACTCACTGCATGTTGGCTGTGGGTGCTGGCTGATCTCTCCCTGTTCAGACCTTCATGCTTGTTTTAGCTATAATCAGCCCTCCTTCCCTCTGACCCAAGAGACAGGAACGTAACAGGATGATCTACTAAGACTCCTCTGTCTGTCTCTCTGGCTGGCTGGCTGGTTGGCTGGATGCATGGATGGATGGATGGATGGATGGATGGATGGATGGATGGATGGAAGGATGGATGGCTGTCAGTCTGTCTGTATTTCTCTGATTGTTGCTCTATCTGTAGTGGTTGCTGAGTGCCTATAAAAGACACCATTCTACTCTCCTTCATTTGCTATGTCTGTCTGTCTAATGAGCTTTGTGCAGTGTGCTTGGTGATAGTGTAGACTAAAGCTCTAACACATGAGAAAGGGGAGAAAGGTGGAACTGAGAATTAGGAAAACAAGAATTTAGACAGACCTAGAACTCGAAAGGCAGAAATAGTAAAACCCCAGGTAGGAGGTTCCAGCTGATTCCGTGTGGTGGCAGGTAATAATCCAGGATCTAGACTAAGGTGACAGATAGAAGTGATCCTGAACTCTCCATGGGGGCTGGACCTATAAATCAATCTGGGAATTGAGAAACTTAGAAGAAAAGGGGAGAAACCTCTGGACCAAAACAGAGCTAAGACAGGCAGCATTAAAGGCAACAGCAGGAAGGAAGCTCCTGGCTCTCAGAGGCATCTAACGCTCAGAAGAGCCAGACCCTGAGTTTACAGATGACCAAGGTATCCAACGCCCAGATCTGACATTTGGAGCGGGCTTAGAGATATCTTGTTCACAGAGGAGGCACCAGAGAAGGGGAAAGTGAACTGGAAGGGCCTAGGTTGAAGCTCCTGAGTTCAGGGCAAATTCCAGACTCAGACTCCAGAGAGCAGGGAGGACAAATTACAGACTGCATGGTGCACTACCTGAATCTGAGGCTGCAGGGGCGGCCAAAGGGAGAGAGTAGGTCAGGAAATCCAAGGAAGGCTACTTGGAAAGTGGCTATAGAAATACACAAGACTAGTTTCTCTCTAAGGGACTCTTACAGTCCACAGGGAAGGTGGTGAAGAGGCACAAGACAGTCGCAATGGGATAGGTCAGAATGACTGTGCAGGAGGATCCAAAGCCCCCACCTCAGCTCTGCTCACTCCTGTCCCCCTTGTGTTGGCCCAGGTCAGCCCAAGTCTGCACCC